TCCTCTCCTCTCCTCTCCTCTCCTCTCCTCTCCTCTCTCTCGTTCCAATTTCTTCTTGCTGTCTCTCAAACTGAACAGAACCAGCATTGTTACGTGAAACAACAACTCTGCTGGACAAAAATAAATGAGACACAAGAGAAACTTGATGCTTCCCTGTTATATGCCAGTCCTTTTCTGTTTCCTACCTATAAATGAGCTTGAGGAAGCTTCCCAAGAACAGATTGAGGACCGGCTATGTAACAGCCACCACCTACAGTCATACAACTACCACATACTGTTTTCCAAGAAATTTTCATGACCTGGTCACTTTGTCTGAGCTTCATCTCTATGAGCATGCTCAGAAGTCAGAATTGCCTTTATCTGATTTTCTGTGTTGTTGCTGTAGGGGAGACCTGTGAAAGGCAGTGGGAGGCCTGTATCCGGCACTACCCTGCTCCCTGGGCAGAGCTTGCTGTTGAGAATCTCATCCTGACGGTGCCTTCTGACAGCATCCGCCACATGGAGAACCCACGGCCGCTGCTGACCCTGTGGAACAAGATCATGGTGGCGATAAGCAAGTTGGCAGCCGTACCAGCAAAATTCCCAAGGCCAGAGAGGATTGTAACAGATGTCCAGATCTCATGTGGTAGGTACATTGCCATATGGCCTTCTCCAGGGCTAACAGGCAAGTGGTCTCTAGCAGCAGTATCTGTTCCTTCAAGGTTATTTTGCTGAAACCAGACTGGGAACATATGTGAGGTGTTAAATAACTGTGACCCTTGCATAATTGTGAGCTACTCCGACGGGGTGGAAATGTGGTAAAGCAGGGTTTGAAAAACATGTGGATCTTTCCAGATGCCTACCTGCTCTCAGAACTGGTGTTGTCTCCTTAGCTGTTCTCCTGTTGGGGTGTGTTAAGATGCAGAGTTGCTGACTGCAGTAGCTTTAGCTCACATGTAGTTATTCATTCCCCCTCCTGAATGCACTGTAGAGTCAGTGCAGCTGGGAAGCAGTGACCTGATTTCTATTTTTTCTCTGGCTCAGCCACGGGACTGTTCTCATGTGTTCAGTGACAACTTTTAAACCTCTGTTTTAAACCAGCCTATTTGCTGGAGGTGGGCTCCACAAAGGTTATTGTGGGCAAAGGTTAGCCAGAAAAGATGTGTGCCTGGGATGATGACTGTGGAAGCAGATCCAGTATTTCTGTCAAAGCCCAGGAGTGTGTATTTTTGCAGCTGATGCTCCCCCACTCCAGTTTTTCCAGTTACAAACTGAGTGCCTTCAGTCAAGAATCAAATTATATAGTAAACATGGAACTTTGCAATAAAAATTTTGCCCAGTTGTTTTTCAAAATAAACTGGTTAAATTCATCATCCCACAATGAGGCAAGGGCTTGGCCTGAAACATCATGCCCTAAACTTCTGCTAAGCTACAATGGAAAGAATTTGTGGCACATCTTGGGAGTGTTAGGTTCTGCTGTGGTGAGCAAATGCCAGTTAAAAATATCATAGCTTACAGACATAATATTTCTTTTGTCTTGGATGGACTAAATGGTTTCGCTCCTATTTCTGGATCTGAACTTTTTGGGTGCTAGTGGTTGCTAATTGCATATATCCCTCTTACTAAAAAAGAAGCAGCTTAAAATCTTCACTAGTTCTGCAGAAACTAGTTCCAGGCCATTCACATTGATGTTGACTAGCTCCTGCAGGAAGGGGATTGCCATTCCTGTTCATTCACCAGGCTCCCTCTGTGCAAAGGGCTGCTTATCCTCTGCTACAACAGGTGTTTGAATTTGGGGGCATTGCTCTTGCATGAAGTTTTGGGAATCTTCAGGGAGGACCAGTTAGGGAAGAAGACATGAAGGAGGCATACATAAAATCCCTTGCAGTGCATGTTTCTTTCCTAGCAGCCTGCTGGGAAGTTGTTTATGGAATAGCCATCCTGCAAGGTTAAGAACAGGCTTAAGTATGATAGGCTTTGTAGCCCTTAAGCATGACAAACTGTGTTTTCCATGTGTTTCATCCACACCAGTGACCACTGGAGTGCAGGCCTGCAGTATCCACACTCTACACAGGAGCACTCAAGGAGTGCCATGGTGCTGAATCACATTATTGCACAGTTGGTGCATGTGCTCAGCCTGTGGGAGTTCAGGTGTGTTCTGGGCAATGGTCAGGCTTTTCTCCTCATCCTAACGCCTCAGCCTCAGTCCAGCCATGAGTGTACATTTATATATAAAAAGGGAAAGCAGGCAGAACTGCACTTAACTGATGGTTCAGTCCTACATTTACTTGTTTGACTATTGTTAGGGTGACTATCTGTTGCCATGAAACTTGATGTATTTCCTTACGTCACACTGGGAAAATCTGGTCATTCATGGTAATTTAAAAAGTGTTATTTATGAGATGGAGGAAAGGCACTAGAGAAATGAAAAAAATACCATAATCATTTATGTCTAAGAAGCCCTGAGGTGAGCACTTAATGTCATGTGTTGTTACCTGTTTCTCCTGCAGGCTGGATGCATGCTGGCTACCCCATCATGGGCCACCTGGATTCAGTGAAGGAGATGTTAGATGTGAAGCACATACAAACTGCTGGTCTTTGGGGTCCTATCCATGAGCTGGGACACAATCAACAGCAGCAGGCATGGGAGTTTCCTCCTCACACCACAGAGGCCACATGCAACCTCTGGTCTGTCTATGTTCATGAGGAGGTGCTGGGCATTCCCAGGCATCAGGCCCATCAGGCACTCAGGCCACAGTGCCGGAAGGAAAGGATAAAAGAGTATCTGAAGAAAGGTGCTCAGCTAAAGGACTGGAACGTGTGGACTGCTCTGGAGACATACCTGCAGGTAACAGGGAAAAGTGTGAGTGTGTTCTTAGTGCAGTCACTAAAGCCTGTGTCAGAGGGATGTCTGCAGCCTGGTGACTGTAGCTGTGTAACCTTGTGTTTGATTACTGTCAGGGTTTATCTTGGGCCCAGAAAGCACCTGAGAGGTAAACAGGCAGAGTGCCTAAAGTTGATGGCTCCTGAAAACCTTCCTTTGCCAGATTTGGGCTTAGCCACTCAGGGAGGTAGCTCAGTGCAACATACTAATCTTTCCCCCTGGAAGAGAAACAGGAACTGCTGCTTGTTATACAACGTGGGAAAAGGAGGATCAAACTTGGGCACAGCTCTTTAATCCACAGCAGATTTCCTGTGGGACAGTGGCTTGTTGTCAAAAAGCTTTGGCACTGTAAAAGTGCCAAAAAGTGCACTGTCTAGAAGAGCCGGGCTTTGAAAAGTCTCCTGGTGAGTTACATGGCCTTGTAAAAAACTGACAGAGAGGAGGGTGTTCATATCCAATGCACTGAGTGGAGCCAGTGTAGTACATCAAGTGGCTAGAGCATGGGCTCAGCCTATCCTCCGGCACACAGAACTGGATCTCTCACTGTGGTTGAGACTCTAAAATATGAGCCCTGTCCTAGATTAAAGTGCATTCTCTCGGGAAGCATGCAAGAGAGATTTCCTCCTTTCTCTTAATCCTCCTAGAAACTATTAGCCTAATGGAAAAGCACTCAACCTGATTTTAACTGGGGACTGCAAAGCAGATGTCCATTATGATGGCTTAAGGTACTGACTGTTGTGAGGTGAGTATCTCTCAGCTTCCTTGTCTGAGAGCTCTCACATTTTATATGAGGAAAGGAATATTTACTGGAGTATTGATCCTGACTTTTCCACATCCCAGAGAAGCATTTGAATTGTCAAGCTGAAGAGTCATCCTCTGGGGTTTTTTGGTGCAACGAATAATAAAATATTTACACAGAGTGGAACAGTTTTAGGAGGAGATATTTTCCCACAGTACCTTACCGGTTTGGCCACTGCCTCACTGCCTCACCCACACTTGTAGGCTGGGATGTCTCATCTCTTGTTTGGTTACTAACAGGACTGCTGGAATAAATGTGGCATGGAAGAACAGTTCTAATTCTGCAGCAGCAGTTTTTCTGTTTGAACTCCTTTTGTTCTTATTCTTAGGCCAAGCATGTCCTGTTCATAATTTCTCCTCATTTTCTCAACACTCCTTGAGCTCCTGTACTCCTTTCTGGCTATCCTGTCAGTGTCCCTCCCCTCTGATACTGTTTTCACTGTCTTCAAAGCAGCAGCTTATATAATAGGTTGCTGACACTTCTGCCTACTCCCAATGTATCTTTGATCTCTGTTTGTTTTGGGAGATCAGTATAATGGAGGTATTTTTCTGTATTTTAGTGCTGTTAGTTATGCTCTGAAGCCTGAAAGTTGGGTGCTTTCATCTAAATTTACATTCATTCTATAAGACACTGCAGAGACCTGTGGAATTTTCTATTGTGTGTACAGGAATAATGCCAGTGAAATGATAGCTTAATTGTTTGTACACTGAATTATTTTTCATCAGTTGCAGGAAGGGTTTGGTTGGGACCCCTTCACCCAGCTCTTCTCTGACTACCAGAAAATATCCAAAATCCCAAAAGACAACACTTCTAAGATGAACCTGTGGGCACAGAAGTTTTCTCAGCAGGTGAATAAGAATTTGGCTCCGTTCTTTACAGCCTGGGGATGGCCTATCAAGAAAGAACTGTCTATGGAACTGTCCTCTCTACCCAGCTGGGAACAGGATCCAATGAGATCCTATAGTCCGTAAAGGAAAACTACGTAAATCTTTGTTCTCATACTAGCTATGACAGCTATCTTTTTCTCTTTATGTGCTACATGATAGCTCACTATGTGCTTGGATTTATGCTGGATTTTTCAGCTTCTTGATGCCAGTGGAGGCCAATGCCAACAGAAATTCAACAGGGATCAGCAGATCAGCAACCACCTAAGCTATCTTCTGAAGGGTTAAATAATCAATGAGCTTTGTTCTGGGTTCTTCACCTCAGGAAGAATGCAATTCTCCATTGATTTACTTCCTACAGAACTTTTCTCTGATGAAATGGAAATTTTCTGGGTGGAGCATTCCCTCAACCAGTTTCAAGGACTTTACCATGGGAATAGAGATCTTTGAAGCAAATAGTAGCCTCCACAATGTTGTATTCTTAAGTTATAATCTCAGTAACATGGGATTTTCACAATTACTTTTGTTACCCTAAAATCCCTAATTGTTAATTCCTCTAATTATGCAGAACTTCCACACTTCTTGTGAAAGTGGCCTTATAATGCTTATAAACAGACTATATAATGCATAGTTGATACTGAAATACTGTAGATTTCTTCCTGCATTCTATAACTGTGTGATCCCATGCCCATCTTTATGTGAGCAAGTCAGTTACAAGTTGGAGCTGTCCTTCAACCAGAGCCTGACAGCAAGATACTTGCCAATGAAGATGAGAGAGTGGAAACAGGGAGGTGATTTGACAGTAGTCAGTAATGGTTTAATGTGTGGACACATCAAAGGTTAAAGACAGGCACTGACCTGACAGCCTGAGGGAGCAGCGAGAAAGAAGACAACAGTTCATCAAGACAGAGGACCAGCCTTTCCAAGGTGCAACAAAAGTTCATGTTACTCCCAGCTCTTTCATAATTGCTCAGCTATTATGGGTTCTGGCAAGCATGTAATGCTTAGCCTCAGATCTCACTAGTCCCAGCCTATTCCTTATGTATCAGTAATAAATAAAATCACTGTAGACTTGCAGGTTTTGTATGTGGTCCTATTTTCATGCCTCCATGCCCAGTAAAAAAAAGGCCTAAGTAGAGATGACCTAAATAGAAGTGGCCTTGGTGGTAAAGTTGAGAAAAATCACCATGGAAGTCTCTAGTCTGTGGTGTGACCTTGTATATTTCGTAGTGCCAAAGGAGAGCACATTAGGCCAAATATCAGTCACAATTAAAGAAGCTGTGCAGTCTCCATTCTTCAGGCTTGGTAAGTGATTCCAAAACCTAACTGTAACAGGGGAGTAAAGAGGCATTTCTGCATTTGTGGTTTACCCATATTTTCCTGATTTTCTGGGGGTTTTCTTTCTGTGGTTATGTAGAAAATGTCAAATATGTAACATCCCAGGAAAGTCTTTGAATTAAGCTTTGTATTTCCTAGCCTGGAAAGTACATTGATAAGAGCTTCAGTTAGGTGTGAATCTCTTTCCATGTTCCCAGTATAAGCATGTTGGAGACACCTTCAAAGTGGCTTGATATTAAAAACTGAATATCATCAACTTGCAGCAGCAGCAGACGTGGGGTCACCCAAGACAACTGGAGCCCTTGCCAGCATCCCAGGATCTCCCTGTGATTCAATAAAGTACAGTTACATCCAGATTAATTTATTGTTTCTGAGGCCATGCAAAGTGGTTTACTTGTGGTGATTGTCCTCCTTCTTCACATTTAAAAGTTCTTTTTAAATTTGCTGCCTTTTTTCACCGGAATGCTGGATTAGGGGAAACTGACATCTCTGCCTGGTGCTGAACCATCTGTCAGTACCGGCCCCCTGGGCTGAGCTGGCCACTAGGACGTCATCCTGACAGTACCAGCTGCTGATGTACACCACATGGGCAACCCAAAGAGTCTGCTTCCCATCTGCATCAAGATGATGAACACAATTTCCAGGACAGCAGCCATCCCAGCACCTTTTCCAAGGCCAGAAAGGATGGTGGCAGATGTCCAGATATCTCATAGCAAGTGTAATAACTAGGACATTTTGTCTGTATCTGTGATGGATATTTATAAGGGAAATACACAAGGCAATAATGCTATCACAAGACCATGCAGATCCTCAAATCAGCAGATCAATTTCATCATATTCAAGAAGACTGCTGGAGAGAGTAAGAATCTTCTGTGGATGTCAAGAGTTTGTATGCAAAAGCAACATATTCTGCTGCTAAATTTGACACTGGAAGACCCAGTGAAGGGAGGCTGGCCCTTGATGTGACGTGTGTACTGTGTCATGTTGATCTTGTTGCTGTGGGAGTGAATTTATGCTAATTGCAGCAGAAAGCAGGGAAACACAGGTTTAGCTGGTTTAGGCAGGACAAAGGAGATTTTGAAACTTGAATTAAGGCACACAACAGACACACAGGCAGCCTACTCTATGTAATAAGACCCTGGTGTTAGCATGCATAGGATTGCTTCCACCAGTGGGGAAGTGAGGGCAGTGGTAGGGGAAGAGTTGGTTGTAAGCAGCATTTTGTTGTCTGTTATTTAAGAAATCTGCTGTTTAAAGACAATTCACTAGGCCAGTGGAACTGAAGTTTGTTATGGGTGATGAGGAGGCTCCTAAAGGCCAAGTCTCAGCATTATTTTCAGTTAGTCTTTGTTCAAGTATTGCACTTTTCTCAGTAGGATTGGCAGGTTCTTTCAGCTCTACTTGACTGCAGCACTAGAGGTGTTCTATACCACATGAATTGATAGATTCCTCAGCAGCCCAGGCCACTACTCAATAATTCACAGCTCTAGCAGCTTGACTCACCTGGTGTATATGCTGTCAGTCAAATAGAACTGATTCAAGAGAGGCTGGCCCAAGTGTAAACACTGGCACAGGTTGCCCAGAGCTGGAGGTGGTTGATGCCCCATCCCTGGAAACATTCAAGATCAGTTTGGATTGGACTGTGAGCAACCTGATCTGATGATGTTCCTGATAAATGCAGGGGAGTTAGACTAGATGACACTGAAGGTCCCTTTCGACCCAAACCATTCCATGATTCCATGAAAAGTGGATGTTGTGTTTCCATACTGCATTTGCTCCTCCAGGCATGTCCATATGTCAGAAGGATTTTATTAACCAAGCATTACATCTGGCCTCATAGGACTCTGAATCCAACAGTCAAGTTGTAATCTGTCAGTGGCTTTGCAACTGCTGTGTTGAGATTATACATCAGTTGCTTCTGGATTAGTTTACATGGCTCCTTCTCATAAGATACCAGCCCTTTGCACAGACACTGCAGATCCTGTGCACAGTCTCCTGCAACTGCTGATCCAGGCAGCAGTCTCCACCAGAGGCCACCCTGATGGAACCCAACAGATAAAACTCTTCCTGCTTCTCTCAGACCTGCTAAAACAAGGGGAGTGTAGCACCATCTCAAACACGTGAATGGCTCTGTATCCCCCCTGCACTACTTTGCAGCTATAAGGAACCAGTTCAGCCTGTTGAATTGTCGCTGAAGGAAAAAGAACCAAAGATATCAAAATCCTATGAAAAGCTACTGGAATATGACTTTTAAAGCTGCATATGGTTGTCAGCAATACTGAGGAGCCCATGGAAGATTAGGATAAGGAGTACAGTAAGTTTGTTTGTTTTTTCTGAAAAAAAAAGGCTTTTTACAAATATCATGAAAACAGCAAAATTGATACCAAAGCAATACAGTGAAGAAGTAATGGTGGACACCAACAGCATATTCTACCCAAAGCTGAAGTGAGCTTTGGAATAATATTCAATAGTAAAGAGCTACTTTACTAAAACAAACTGACAAGAATCTGCCTTCCAGAAAAAACAACAAAATAAAATAAATCCCAGTTCACAATTTGCTTTGTGGTACCACAGACACTGTCAGGGCACAGTGTAGGCGAGTCAGTGTCCAGGAGCCAGCTGCAGTAACACGGCCAGCAGGACAGCTGGGGACCAGCCACAACACCTGAGTGAGGCAAGCAGGGCACACCTGGCACAACATCCAGGGTCCATACTACTAGACGCATCTTCAGAGATGAGGGATGTCTGAGGTGAAGCCTGGAAATCAGTCCTCAGCTCAGTATTGGGTCCAGTGATGGTGACCAAGGTCAGACATACTCCAGTGGCTGCCAGGCAGGCCCACTGTGATGAGGCACATCTGAAATCAAGTGAGGAAGTCAGACTATGGATCTGCAGGCAAATTAAACTTGCGATATATTTACAAATGTATTATTTTAATCCAGGGAAGCTTCTTTCCTCACTTCCATCATTCAATTCCTACCCCAGATCATCTCTCTCTGTTGACTCTTAGTCTCCAGTACTGTATACATGTGCCAGCTCACAGGATTCTACAAATCAACATGAACCAGTCCTGATCTGTCCCAAGCAGCACACTTCATCAGGAGAACCAGAGCTTCAGGGAAAAGTCTTGGAAGCAGTCCTCAGAAAATGTGCTTGTTTCGAGTCATTTGTGGTCTCAGCACAGTGCAAGGCTCATTGGTCTGTGGAATGTGCTGGTTTCAGATGTAATAGTGAACCACAGCCTTTGGGCAGTACCAAAGATGACTTCTGATCACTGGAAATTGTTCTTTTTCTTTCTTTTTCTTTTTCCCCCTAATACTATATTTAAGCCATTCATTCAGTGTTGTGGTGCAGTACTTCATTCAGTAGCAACCAGGGTTAATAGTCAGTACAAACATCAACTGTGCATTGTCTCTAGGCAGGGACCTATTTTATATATATATATATATATATATATATATATATATGCATTTTATGCTGCTGGAAGAGTCTTATGT